AAAGATCAAATTAAAAGTTTAACCTTTAAATTATAAAATATAAGAAAAAAAAAAAGGCATATGCATAAATGAAGGATGGAGTAGGTATGGGAATGTGGAATGAAGGATTGGAGGTAGCAAGACACGTGGGAGGACCCATAACACGTGATCAAACTTTGTTGTTTCTCTGATAATTGTAATCCGATCGTCTGTGAGAGGTCAAATCACACGCTACATTGTTGCACTATAGTTATGGGTCATTTTTTCCTGGTTAGGCACACCACACTGTTAAGGTGTATGAATATGATAAACACCCAACAAGGGAGGTCCCTACTTTCTTTTTGGCGAGAGGTGAGGTCCCCTATTGCCTACTCCCCCACTTCATTGTCCCATTTGCTTGAACACAATTACAATTTGAGGGAGGGGGAATGGGATTTGAACCCTGGCATTCTACTTGGTAACTTGCTGCACCCTTATTCAATAGGGGCTTGGGGCCCGAGTGCACTTCACCATTTTCAGTACTTTCACTTTGGCTCTCATCTTTCATGCCATTAAAATAACCCCCACATGCACAATGTGTCCATAATAATAATTATTATTATCATTAAAGTTTATTATTTTACAATTTAGATTACCAAAGATGAATGGTTAAATAAAAAGAAAGTTGTTAATATTAAAAAATTTACTTTTATTCAACAGTAATTACCGTACAATTTAGTGCAATTTAAAGTTTAAACTGCATAATAATTTTTTTACATTTATCATTATTATTGGTATAAGTTTTAGAAGATTTTCTTACTCTAGCTACCAAATTAGATACAACACATATTTCTTTTTTCTCTTTCTCTTTTTTTTTTAAGAAACTTTTAAGCGAGTTTCTTTGGTTGTAACCTTTAAGTTTTAAGGTAAAAGTTCTTAATTTGATATTAACATTTGTTTTTATTCATAAGCATAAAATTAATACATACTTATGTAAGTTTTATTTTGGTCAAGAAAACAGAAAAAAGGAATTCTTCTTCAAAAATTTCAACCCATCTCTGATTTAATGTATTGACACAGATCAGAAATACTCGCATCCATCTTCGTTCAATTTAATAACAAATTAATCCAAACCACAAATATAATAATACGAACACAAATTAAGAAGAAAGGATTGGCAAAATAGAACAAAATCTCGAACAAAAATTGCTCCGTTCTAACTTAGAAGTCTAAGATCCGAATAATTCTCATCCAAAGCTTCTGTCCATCCTTGAACTGAAAAAATGGGAAGAAACAAAAGCAACCCAAAAACAATACCAACAAAAGATCACAAAATCTCTACTCCAACAAGACGAGTTCATCAACCATGCAACGTGCCTCACAAACAAGTTTGATCAGAAGCAACTTGGCTTGGTTCTTCTTGACCATGGCCTTTCTCTACATCTTCTACACAAACATCCTCTTGAGTGATAATGGCAAAGATTGCCCCGTTAATGCCACCAATCTCTCTGCACAAGAAAACACCGAACCGATTGAATCCACCACCAATTTATCTTCTACTTCAATCACTTCAAAAGTAGAGGAAAAAAAAGAAGAAGAAATTGTTAAAATGCTGTCTCAGAGGTCCCAGGGATATGATACGGAATTGAAACACATTGTTTTTGGGATAGCAGCGTCGTCAAATTTATGGGAGAGGAGGAAAGAGTACATTAAGGTGTGGTGGAGGCCTAAAGTTACTAGAGGGGTGGTGTGGCTAGATAAGCGGGTGAAGGTTAGGAAAGAAGAAGGGCTGCCAAAGATTCAGATTTCAGAAAACACCTCCAGTTTTAAGTACACCAACAGGCAAGGGCAGAGGTCGGCTCTGAGGATTTCCAGGGTGGTATCGGAGACGCTAAGGCTGGGGATGAAGGATGTAAGGTGGTTTGTCATGGGGGATGATGATACGGTGTTCATTGTTGAGAATGTGGTGAGGGTGCTGTCCAAGTATGATCACCGACAGTTCTATTATGTGGGGAGCTCATCGGAAAGTCACATTCAGAACATATTCTTTTCCTATTCTATGGCATATGGAGGAGGTGGCTTTGCCATTAGCTATCCCTTGGCGAAGGAGCTGGCCAAGATGCAGGACCGGTGCATTAATCGATACCCAGCATTGTACGGTAGTGATGACAGAATGCATGCTTGTATGGCTGAGCTTGGTGTGCCTCTCACCAAAGAACTTGGCTTCCATCAGGTATAACTATACTCCCTAGATAAATGCTGTTCAGGAATTGTACATCACCCAACATCTTTATTTTCCCTATCAAACTGTTCTTGACATGATTTCAGAACTTTGCAACTTCTAACTTGATTGGGTTTTTTTTACCATCTTGACCAATTCGGAGATATTTATGCATTCCCTGGGACTTTAAAGATGCTGCTCCTGAACTCTCAAACTGTACTAGACATAGCATCAAGATCTTTTGACCTTAAAGCCCTTATTTTAGGGATATTTATGCTTTGTATATGCTTTCAAAGGGGATGATTGATCTTGGTTCAACTTTCTGTGCAGTATGATGTGTATGGAAACCTGTTGGGGCTTCTAACATCACATCCAGTGACTCCATTAGTATCACTCCACCATCTAGACGTGGTGCAGCCAATATTTCCTGGCATGACCCAAGTGAAGGCCCTGCAGCGTCTGCTTGATTCGGCCAAATTTGACTCAGCAAGCCTATTGCAACAGTCCATCTGCTATGATGCCGAACGTTTCTGGTCCATCACTGTGTCTTGGGGCTACGCTGTTCAACTCATGAGAGGGGTGATGTCTCCCAGGGAGCTAGAGATGCCCACAAGAACTTTTCTTAACTGGTACCAGAGAGCTGACTATACCGCTTATGCCTTCAATACTAGGCCTCTGATGAGGCATCCATGCCAAAAGCCCTTTGTTTTCTATGTCTCTAAGATCAGATATGACCCTGTTAGGAACCAAACAATTGGGATCTACTACCGTGACAAGGCAGCCAGCCCTTACTGCCGATGGAGAATGGATTCACCAGAGAAACTCGAGTCTGTTGTAGTCTTCAAGACAACAGATAATCTTCGTTGGCAGAAGGTAAGCTGATCTGAATTACAATCTAAGAACACTAAACTACAGAAGAAAAAACTGTAATCTAATTATAAAAGCGCTAACTCAATAACAAATTTTCTCTTTTGCAGTCACCAAGGAGGGATTGTTGTAGAGTTCTACCATCCAAGAAAACTTCATCAATGTATCTATGGGTGGGGAATTGTCAGGAGGGTGAAATTAGTGAACTAGTTCAGGAACAGACACTATAAACGATACTATTCTGAGTTCTATAACTCATTCTTGACCATGGCCACAGGCATAAGTTAATGCTAATGGTGTTAATGAAACAGAGATCAAATGAAATTTTGATAACTGTAATTACTCCAAGAGATCCATGGAAGCAAAATTTTGATCCAGATCACAAACCATGACACCATTGATTCAAGTTTCATTCAAACAAATCAACAAACAGTTTGTGTTCTCAAGCAGATTCCAACAGAATTCACCTTTATGATTCTTCCACAACGAAAACTACAATTTCCTAAAAGTCTAAAACTATGATTCTTCAATCATATTTACTCACCTGTGCTTCAGTTCCATCTCCATTGTTGAGATCCCTTGGGACTGAGGCGATTGGGGATGAAGCAAATTTCATCCTAGCAAGTCCAATCTCAGTGCGATCAAGATGTGCCAACACCTCTGCCCTCACCCTATCATGTGTAACCATAACTCCGCCATCCTTGATCACCAGATCTACTGCTTTCAAATAAAAATAACAATGAATACTAAATCAAAGTTGAAACAATTTAACAAAACCATTTAACTTCACACGAATTTCTTTGATTTTCTAGGAAGCCAAACAGCCATTAAAAATCAGAAAGTTGAGAAAACGCAAAATTGCTCACTAAATTAGTCCTTTGACTGTAACAGCGCTCTACTATTGTTATTTCAACCAATTTATTGATTTTCTTTTCCTTTCTCTCATTTTCTCGAGAATCAAACAACAGGACAAAAACTCAGATGTTTAACCAATCAACATTCGCAAATCGTAAATAACTACTATGAGACGAACAAAGATCCAAATCCAATAATTGACACATTGCCAAGAATCGAATCAATAGTACCTGGATGAGAGAACCAGCAGAGAGTCAAGAAGCAGATCAGGACTAACAAAGGAATCGCGTGGATCAATTTCTCTCCCAAAGGAAAAACTCGAGATCGTGGCGGAGTCTCACTGCTCCTCCGGGCAACGCCGCCATTGCGCGGTGTC